GTATATTATAACCTATTAAATGAAATCATAAATGTATAAGAATGATAAATGTTAAAACACCTGTAACCAAACGACATGCTGTATGTGATGATTGTTTTTTTTGTGTGTGTGTTTTTTTTAATTATTATTGTGTGTATGTGTTGTCTATGTAATAAAAATTAAAAAAAAAATTAAAAAAAAATAAGAACAAGAGACAAATCAATAAAACTATAACTCTGCATCTCTTCTAGCATTTCAGAAGGAGAGTCCAGAAGTACTTCTACAGTGACCACTGTTACAACCACTCTAGGTGATGGAGACGACGATGCTGTGTTCCGGGAGAGGATGGCGCGGAGGGAGGAAAGGCGTCAAAAGCGTCTTCAAGAAGCATTGGAGCGCCAAAAGGAACTTGACCCAACTGTTACCGATGAGACCATATCCTTCACAAGCAAAAAAGTGGTGAATAATGTGGAGGAAAATGAGACCCCGGGAAAAGAAGAAAAGGTAGAAACCCACAGAAGACACTATGAGGTGGAGGAAACAGAAACCATCACTAAATCGTACCAGAGGAACAACTTGCAGCAGGATGAAGAGGATGAAAAGAAAGATGAGGAATACAAAGAAGAGATGGAAGACCAGAAACCAAAGCCACAAGCCCTAGAGGAGAATCAGGTAGAATTAACTGTAGAGAAGGAGAATATAGACAATGAGGAGGAATCTGCAGTCTTGGAGGGAAAACATCTTGAGGTAAATGCAGAGGGGAACAAATTAGACAATGGCACCCATGTCCTTGCCAGTTCAAAGGAGGGCCTCAGCATGACAATAGTCATAGGTGAAAATAAGGAGGAAGACAATGAGGCAGAAATGAACCAGATACAAATTGAGGAGAGGGAAAGGCTGGAGAGGGAAGAAAGGGAGAGAGCCGAAGCTGAGGAACAGAGAAAAGCAGAGGAAGAAAAAGAGAGATTGGAAGCAGAGAAAAGAGAAGCTGAGGAGAAAGCGAAGAGGGAGGCTGAGGAGAAAGCAAAAAGGGAAGCTGAGGAGAAAACAAGGCTTGAGGCAGAGGAGCGGGAGAGGGTGAAGGCAGAAGAACAGCGGAAGGCTGAGGAGGAGAGAAAGAGGAAGGAGAAGGAAGAGGCAGAGAAGAAAAAAGCCGCCCAGGAGAAAGAGAGACGCGAGGCTGAGGAGAGGGAGAGGAGGAAGGCAGCCGAAGAGAAAAAAGCAGCGGAGGAACGAGAGAGGGCTAAGGAGAAGGAGAAGAGGGAGGCGGAGGAGAGGGCCAAAGCTGAGGCGAAGGCTAAGCTAGAAGAGGAGAGGTTAAAGGCCAAGCAAAAGGCCGAGGAGAAAAAGGTAGACCAGCTGAAAGGCAAGAAAGGGGACGAGAAGAAAATAGAAGAGAAGCAGGTAAAAGAGAAGAAACTCCAAGAGGAGAAAATCACAGCAGCTTCCCTCAGGAAACAGGTAGAGTAAACATTTTGCACCCAACCACCGTTTTTGCCTGTGTTTTGTAGAAAATGTAATGCATTTCACCAGGAAAAAAAAAGAGAGAGAGAGAAACTGGAATTTGTTCAGTTATCTCCTTCCACTTTGGGCTACTAACTCTTGCCAATGTTTTATTCCTTTTCGGATTTAAGCTTCTAGCTTCACCTCTTCGTAGCATGATCAGTGCATGACATGTTGATTAAGCTGCTCTCTCTTCTAGTCGCTTGAATCTTCTGGAAATCTATGCATGCTCGATTCTTCACAGCTTCTTTGTCTTCCCTTTCTGTGGCTGATGGTTGGACAAGGAAGGTAGCCAAAGGCCTACGCCAGGTCCAGAAGCACAGCATGAGCCACGGATGAGCACTGGGAAACCTTGGTGGTAAGAGAGTTGAATAAGCATCCGCAAGTAATTAGAAGCAAGCACAGCCGGGATACCCTGCTGAGATATGTGAGAACACGAGCACACCAGAGCAGAGGAGAGGGTGCCAATGTGCAAAGGGAAGTCACTGTGCCCACCCGAGGGGGAATGGCGTGCACAGCAGCAGATGCGAGGTTGTATGAGCACAGCTTTGTAAAGCTACGGTAGTTAGTAGCAGCTGTTAATAGGGCTTGCGATGGGATTGATGTTTTCCTCTTGAAAAAATATTGCAAAAGGGGGAAGAAAATAAAGTGGAAGCTAAAAAAGGAAACCTACAGGAGAAGAAGCTTCAGCCAGCCTTCAGGAAAGAGGAGGTAACTATCACTTGCGGGTAGAGTGGGGCGTGTGGGAAGTAGGCCGAAACCCCCCCCCCCATTGCCTGTGTCCATCATGAGATCCCATAGCGAAGGTCAAAGGTCATTCCATCCAATTTCAAGCTTAGGAGCAACCTGACTCAAGTTCACCTTTTCTCCAGCAGCCATCTTGAAGGCTGCCTCAAGGTGTTGGCCAAAAGCAGACAAGGGCTTTCCAAAACTGGCTATACGATGAAGCAAGCTTCAGCTTATTCCAGTTGGTTTTATATTGTGCTGTGTGAGCTGAACATTTAACTCGCTTCTTTGGCGTATGATGAACATCAGAGAAGTGTTTTAAGTTTTCCTGAGCTAAGATCACACCTGAGAACACAACATGGGCCATGGAAATTGGACCTAGATTTGTGTGGAATTCCTGAGTGCCCTCCAGTTAAACCGTCTTGCCTTAATTTCTCCCTCCACTTTGTGACTTTTCTTGATGGAATTGATGGTTTAGATCAGGGGTCTCCAACCTTGGCAACGTTAAGCCTGGTGGACTTCAACTCCCAGAATTCCCTGGCCGGCATAGCTGACTGAGGAATTCTAGGAGTTGAAGTCCTCCAGGCTTAACGTTGCCAAGGTTGGAGACTCCTGATTTAGATTATAGATGCCTCAAGATATCTTTAGTTCTGTAATCTGAATTTAACCCAATGATTCTGTTTCTTTTATTTTATTTAAGTTTTTTTAAATTTTATAACATCTAAAAATTCCAATTTCAATAATTCTGTTTCTTAATATAAACTATCCACTCTCCAAAATCGCCTTTCTTTTTTTGACTCCTCCCCCCTCCCCTTGGTTTACAAAAAGTGGTGCATTGCATTTCTACTTAAACTCAGAAGCTGGTGCCATGGTGTTTTACTGTCTGGTGAGTAAAAGTATTGGTATCAAACCATCGTTCTTAATCATCTTCAGGTAGGATACTGCAGATACCAAAATGTACTCTTAGGTTAGCCACTTTTGAACATTTTATCACTTATTTTACTTGCCATCCATGAAACATTACTCTAAATCAGCCTGCTAGAGGAATTATAATAATTTTGAATGGATCATGTGTGTAAGGTCTGCATTTATAAAATGCCTGTAGGAGAAATTTTATACCATTATGCAACATAAAACTGTAATACAGTGCAGAATTGAAAGCTACAACCAATATAGTACTGTAGAAAAACAGATACAAAGCCAATATGGAAAAAATAATAAACCAAACCACCCCATATTAGCAAAATGAAATGCAATAAGAATGGGCTAAAACAAGTAAAAAAAATAAAATAGGAGATAAAACTATTAAAACATAATGAAGATTAAAAGGCACCAAAACCCAGGGACAAACTAATCTGGAGAAGAAAGAAAAGAAATGAGCATTAAGCAAATTTCTTGGAAAAAGCATTTTATTGGAATTACCTAGAAGGTTTTCTCTGTAGTCATCCAACTCCAATACATGAAGAATTTTGAACTACAATAATCGACGTATTTTCCCATCCCTCCCTTTTATACCAAAAGAGGCAATGCAGGGTAACATGTAAAGCTTCAAAAACCTAGAAAGAAATGTAGGGTTACTTCTAAGTAGCTTATTTTATTGTTCCTGACCTATAGATAGAAAATCTTGCTGAACTAAAGCAACTACTTGCATTGTTGAAGATATCCTCTGGGAACTTTTAGGGAGGAGCTATCTTGATGCTCTTCCTCCCAATTGAACCATCTAAACTTCGTTGTCTCTTGGTCTTTTGGAATCTAGACTATATTCCAGCACATAACATGATGTTTCTTTCTTGGGCTTTCTGGTTTTCTTGGATTGAGCTCATGTTTTTGCTGCATGTCTTCCTCAAAGGCACCTCTGTGTTCCTCTACAGATAAGGCTCAAGGCTTCCATTTAGATATGGAAGGAAACAGTGAATCATGAAGAAGGGAATCATGAAGAAGCTGAAAGATATACCTCCAAATACATGAGGGTTGGAGCTTCCTGATTTAGAAGCTCCATTGGAGGAGACAGAAATAAATTACTCTCTCTGATATGGGATTCCACTGATAATAGCCCTAGGTAGACTTTATGGATCCAGGGGTGATATTCCAAATCTTTTCCTACCGGTTCTCCGAGAAAGTGCTTTGCACATGCGCAGCACTCAAAGACTGCCCATGGTGTCAGCGCTGGTGAGTGAACTGTTTTTTTAGCTCAGCTGAGACGCGGCAATCCACTCTGCTGCACGAATCAGCTGAGCTAAAAAACCAAGGGAATATAGGACAGGAAACAGCAGGGGCGGGAGGGCGTGGCCAACCAGAGATGGTATTTGCCGGTTCTCCCAATTACTCAAAATTTCCGCTATCGTTCGCCTGAACCGGCCCGAACCGGCTGAATACCACCTCTGGATACTACTTTTTAGACATACAATGGGAAGATATCATTCTTAGTAATAGTGAGATTTGGTTAATGGGAGATTCCAGGAATAGCAGGGAGCTATATATCAATGGTAGAGAGGATGTTTTGCACACAGAAAGTTCCTGATCCCATTCTTGATATTTTTAGTTGAAAAAAAGAGGGAGATAGTAAGGAAGGTAACAGTCCAATTTGGAAGACTTCTCTAGGAGTATCTAGGGGGCTGTTCTCAGTCAATAATGTAGACAGCCCTTGGTTGGCAGAGTTTCAATGAGTAGAAAGCCACCTTCAGCATCACATGAAATGAAGCTCTACAGCTTGCGAACAGTGGTCTCCATTCCTCAGCTACACCTTTCCCTAAATGACACGGCGTAACCAACATGCTTAGTCTCATAAACATCCCTTTGGAACCAACCAATGTACAGTATATTCTGACGGATACCAAGGTTTAAACGACAGTGTCTCCCCACTGCCAGCAGCCAGCGAGATCTTAGCTGTAAAGTCAGTCATCCTGGAAAAACTGAAAATAGCCAGACTGTAAGATGAAATTTCACATAAAGCTGCCTTTCCCTGGTCTGTTTTGAGTTTATTTTACATCCGAGAATTTGTTCTGTTTTCTGGACTGCCTTAAGACCTTGGGTGTGTAGAGCTGGACTGTGCAAAGTTTGTCCTGAAGCAAGCTTTCTCATGACATGATAGTTGTGGTATTTCCTGCTTCCAGTTTGGCTAGACATGCTACATGAACAGCATTTACCGCCCCCCCCCCCCTTTCCCCCTTTTCTTTCTTGCTTGCAGTGTTCCCCTCCCCTTTAATGCACTTCTGTTTATAAGAAGATAAGCGGTTAGCCTAATCATTCTGCTCAGATTCTCGCAACCTGAGTTAAAACTTAAATTCAGATCCCTGATTTGGAATTTCCAAGGCAGCATTAAATATCTGAAATAACATTTTGGGAAGGGATAAAGAGTTAATTGTTTATTAACTCCCTGTACTTTAGACAGTCAACGTTGCATTAATCAAGCATATTTAAATGACCCTGTAGATTACGAAAAAAAACCAAAAACATCTAGGCATCTTTAATTTCATAAGGAAGTATGTTATTTAAATATGCATGTTAAAAGCAAAAATTAATATCGATATTAGAACGGAAAGAAGGATCTCTCATCCTCTCTCCAATTCAGGTTGCTACCATAATTTCCCCCAGGAATTTGGAACAAACCCAGGACTTTCTGCTCGGCAGATCTAGGCTTGTTTCAGAAATACCATATCTAGTATGGTGAGGAATAGATTTTGAATTTCTCCCAGTCTTTTCTCCTTGTAAAAGGGATCTGAAAGGTGGAAAAGATAGACTGACTAAACCGTGGTCATCCTACAAGAAGCCATTTCATTTCATTCATGTAAATATCATTTTTCCAAAGTACTTTCTTGCCCTTACGGAAAAGATACCAAGTTCTTTTTTTTTCCAGGATTAATTCCAGGGTTGTGGATTCCTTTAGCCCAGGCTTCTTATGCTGGAATGGTGTGTAGCAGGGATGGGATTCAGCCGGTTCGGGCGAACTGGATGCTAATTTTACATCTGCTTCGCCGAACCAGTAGTTGCAAGGACTGGCAGGCGCCACCCACCCTTCCCCTCCCAGGAGTCTCCACACAGCCCGTTTTGGATGCCAGATAAGTGTAGGGTGCACGCAGAGGCTCTGGGAGGGCAAAAAATGGGCCTCCTGGAAATCCAGAAACGGGCCTGTTTCCAGAGTCCAGGGAAGGCCATTTTTGCCCTCCCGGAGGCTCAAATGCAGCCACGCGAGCGATTGTGGGTGCACCTCGGTACATCCACATCACACCTATCCTCCGCGAGCTGCACTGGTTACCGATTGGTCTCTGGATATGCTTCAAGGTGCTAGTCATCACTTATAAAGCCCTTCATGGTATTGGACCTGGGTACTTGAGAGACCGCCTGCTGCCAATTATCTCCCAAAGGCCCATTAGATCCCACAGATTAGGCCTCCTCCGGGTTCCNTTTTTTGGCAGCTGCTGCACACAGCTGGCTCATATTTAAATGGTTGAGCATATACATATACTGTACCTGTGCATTTTGTTTTTCTTGCCTAAATGTAGACCCTTACTTTTTTCACCATTGAATTTCATTTTGTTAGATAGCGCCCAGTGTTCAAGTTTGACCGTGCAGATGGGAAAAAACATTTTGTATGCTGAATGAATTGAGCAAAAACCCAAACAACTTTCTGGAAAATGGAATTAAGGTAGATAAGGAACAGTGGCAGTCTCACTCATGCAAGGACCAAGTTGTATTAGAATATATATTTCTTCTTTTTAGCAGGAACAATCACTGAAAAAAACAGAAGGTGGCCTCCTTATTTTGATTATCTAATTTACAGCATGAATCCTAAACAATAGGTGCAGGAAAGTTGTTTGGGAATATGTCCCATGATTCACTTCCATCAGTGAATCATGGGAGATATTCACCTGGGTATGTGTATTCATATGCGTGAAGGAGTATGTTCTATAGAACCATTAAACTGATGGACTTTTGCCATTCATTTTGCCTCATCGGATCTCACCTTATTGTTTTTATGAATCAAATAACATCACATTCCGAAAACAGAATTAGAAAAAAAA